TGAACACGAACAATTGGAACATATGATTGCACATTGAAGCAGAGAAAGGTCTAGGTATTCCAAGACGTATTTTATAGTGAATATCAACCAAAAGTTGTCCCAGCAATGTGTGCATTTTATCTGCAAGAAAGTGGCACTTACGATACTAAGACTTAACAGAAATCCTCACACACACAAAACTTCGACAACAATAGAATAAAACAGGTTTTTGATCCAGATGCAACTGACTGTAGATGTAACCAAGCATGCAGGAAACCATAAGCTGTGAATTACAAGCAGCAGTAAACAAAATAACACAAATAAACTGTTACCACCATGAAGTTTCAAGTTTCAAAACTGACAGACATGGTATCAAAGATACTACAATAGTCAAATATCAAAAGCATTCCAATAAAACGCTTAAATACACAGGAAATAAAATCTAGGTACAATCAATGCTGTAGTAGCACACTACAACATGGCCATTCAGATTGTAGGTAGGAAAATGGTTAACAACTTTACCAGCAGATGCTGAAACCATGTAAACAATCCTATTGCTAAACAAGGCAATTGTACAGAAACACAATTGATTCCTCATCCGTGCAGCATGACCAAAAACTGACGTAAACATTTGACAAAATTTCATGCTTCAGAGGCCTATCGATAGGTATAGCATATGTATATCATGAGGAAGGTAACACAGTCTCAGGAATTCACCCAAACTTCCCTCGGCACTGTCAATTACAGCAGCCAGATGGGCTTTTTTTATACTCCCATCAACCACTAACTACTCCTAACTCGAATTAGAACGAATTGATGGAAGTAAAATTATTTTTTCCAGTGAGAGCTGCAGAGGGGAACTGGGGGAAGTGAAGGACCTGGAGAGGATTTGGGCATCGAGATCCTTGCGGATGTTCAAGGCGGATCCGTAGATGGCCTCTGTCCCAAACTTCTTCTTGTCCGCCCAGAACTTGGCCTCCTGTGCGGAGCGCGCGCGTCCCCCCAAACATGGATCCCAGGCTCAGCGTTAGGGTTTCGAGGGCACGGACAAAGGGAAACGGAGGAGAGCGACGGGTCCTTACCGATTGGATGGTGGACTGGAGCGGGTGCGGCGGCGCGAGGTCGGCCTTGACGCCGGCGTTGAGGCCGAAGCGGAGAGTGTCGTGGGTCTCGCTGATCTCCCTCTTCATGCTGCCGCTCGCCATCGTCGATGCTCTCCGCCTGCTCCTCTCTCGCGCGCTCGAGAACAAAACCTTCGCTTCTTTCTTTGCGTGGAAGAAAGGAAACAGCGGCGCTTTGGGCTTATAGGTCCCTACCCTCTTTTAGTCGTTTTGTTGGGCCGGCCCAACTGCAATCTGCCTATCCAGCTCGGAATATCGGAATATAGCCGTTTTTCTAGTTCCACTCGAAATTGCATCCCAAAACAAATATGTCTGTCCCGGACTGTGTGTGTGATATATATATATATATATATATATATATATATATATATATATATATATATATATATATATATATATATATAACTACTACTCTGTAGCTGGCTATAAAATAACTTATTCTGTAGCCACTTTGAATTACGATAATTACTATATTAATTTACGAGATTATAGTAACTCCTTGCTAAGTGGTTTACTATAACGTTATGGTAAATATCCCCATGTGTTATAGTAACCTAACTATCGTAGATATGTATTGACATTATCGTAAATTAGTATATAAAATTATCGTAAATGGAGGTGGCTATAGAATAACTTATTTTATATCTGGCTACTGAATATAATATATATATATATATATATAAAAATAAATAAATATTAACAAAAAATAGTCAACTAGGATATAAAACATGTATCAATAGATTGTGCATTCAAAGTACCTCTACAATTCCTTAATCCTTAGCAAATGACAATATATAAATTTTACGACTTTACCTGTCAAAATGGAATTATCATTGACGGAGGGAGTAGAAAAGCAATTGTAAGATATAGATCAGACACGATCGGAATGAACACAGATTAAACAAGAATGTTAATTTTGAACGACTCTTGATTGCTAACCGATAATGCTACAGGACGTCACTCGCTCTGGACGGATAAGTAGCGAGACGTTCACTGCAACTTTGACTTCCTCCATCTCTTATTCTTATCCGGACACTGGCTCACTCCGCTCTGTCTTCTCCCCACCGCATTCTTACCCTGCACTGCTCGCTTGCTACTTGCTCCCGCGCCGCCGCGCACCCCACTTGCGCCGCTCGCTCCTCACTCCTCACTCCTCTCCCCCACCCGTCGCACGCCCCACCTGTACCTCGCTCCTCGCTTCGGCCGTGCGCCACGCCGCCTGCTCCCTCTCGTAGCACGCGCCGCGCGCCAGCCTAAGCTAAGGTCGATGCTAGTGGCGCTGGCTGGTGGTGGTGTCTCGCGCGCCACTGGTGCTAGGTTCTGGTGGTGCTCGTGCACCGCCGCTCGCCGCCGGCTCTGATCCCGACGTTGGAATCGACCGCCCAGGCTTTCCCTCCCCGTGTTGCAAATGTATGTTTCAGGTATTTCAGTTGTTTCAAAAGTATATTGCAGTTATTTCATATGGATGTTGCAAAAATAGATCGGGGATGTTGCACATGTTGCAAGTGTTTTATAGGCATGTTGTAAGTGTTTGTTCAAAATATTTCATCTGTTCCAGACGTACGTTGCAAGCGTTTTGATCTGGATGTTTACGTATGTTTCACACACATGTTGCAACAATATGTTTTATATATTTCACATGTTTCAGACGTACGTTGCAAATATTCTATCTAGATGTTGCATATGTTACTGTTTCTCTGGGTAGCTTTTTTTTAGGCGCGAGAAGTGTTTTCTCGGATACCAAGGAACTTGACATGAGGGTAAATCTTGTGCTAACCTGCTCTGGATACCCTGAACTTGACATGAGCTATTCAAATCTTGTGCTAACCTGCTTTCCAGACATGCTACTTCCTCCTCGTGTGTCATCAACCGACATAGCATAAGATTCTCTCACACAACTTATGTTTTTTGCTTCTTTTTTGCAAGTGAATGGGGCCTTTATGGATGCATGCAACAAATGAGAGAAGAGATAGATGAAGCAAACACTAGCCCGCATCCTCTGGTCCCTTTGTATACTGCGTCCTGCATGCAATAATCTCTTTAAAACCTGTGCATGTATTTACTGCCTGCAAAACTTGATGCACCAAATGCCTCGGTATAGTTGTGCCTATACCAAAAACGCCACAACGCCATAGAAAGTTGTCCGGACCGAGTATGTTGCAATTTTTCATTTGAGTGAAAGTAGATCTCAACGTAGGGTTGTTTAGTGAGGAAGAGAGAGTTAGTGCGAAGAGCTATGGCGGCATCTGTTGTAAGCTGGCAGGAGCGCTCCACCGGAGGACCGCTGGCGCCCGTTCCCGTGTGACATGCTGCCTTCGCTGGCCTCACCGGAGTTCCTTGAGCATAAGATTGTGGCAAAGTTATTAGGACCGGACCGGTGATCGAACCGGCGAGGCCATCGGTTCACTGGTTCCCTGGTCCAACCGTTTGGAACCGATTGAACCGCCAGTTCAATTGTTTTGGACCGGACGAATTGAACCGGCTACAAAAACTTTGAACCGGTATATATATATATATATATATATATATATATATATATAATAGATGATAAACAACACAAATTTAATTGCACAGCTATAAGATTCATACATATATATATATATATATATATATATATAGAACGATATGTTCTTAATTGAAAACATAAAGTGCGTGATATCAATAACATAAGTTTCAGCTTCATACATAGTTCATACTTCACACTGCATGTCTGCATACACAGCCTCGCTGGTTCTTTAATACAAAATAGCAGGAGTGACATCAAATCCATGACTGCAGGAGACGGTAATAATCTTTCACTAGCAGTAGTGCAGTACCATTCATAATAAACGTAATATACTAATATCATAGCGATTCTACTACTCAGATTCGTTTGCTCAATATATCAGTGCATTAACAAATCTTACTGAATATATCACTGCACTGACACTAAAAAAATCTCACTGGACAAATACCAAAGCAATGAAGGTATGCAGGCCATATAGTCTTTAACAGTTTAACAAAATCTCACCAGTAGCATGGAGTGGAGGTACTGTCTGCAATGAAGGTATACTAATATCAAAGCAATGAAGGTATACTAATATCATGTCGTGGAGCCGTGGAGTGGAGGTACTGTCTGCCTGTCTGGAGTCTGGTGCTCGAAGAAACCAGATCAGCAGCAGTAGCAGCCGTCTGGAATCTAGATCCCAAGTAGATAAGGTTGCCCTGAGTGCTTACAGGGGTAATTTTGAAAAAAATCAAAACCCCACCAGTTCGCACGGAACCGGCCGGTTCACCGGTTCAACAAAAACCGGCCGGTTCAACCGGTTTATAGCGGTTTGATTGCATAGATAGTGTTTTAAGTGAACCGAACCGGTATAGGCTCTGGTTCGGTCTTTTACCGGTCCTATCGTTGGTCAAATCCGATCCTAATAACTAGGGCTTGAGGCATCTCCCCGCGTGACAGAGATGTAGAACCTAGCTATGACGCGGGCACAACTAGGTTGAGGCCCCCTGTGGGGGCAACAAGTGGGCGGGACGCTCTGTTACACGGGAGACCGGACAGGGTGCGGCAGAGCTGCGGCCGGATGCGAGGGGCCACAGATCCGGGCGCTAGTTATTCCCACACGTTCGATAGTATATTATACCATGCGATATGATTTACGTGAATCACAAAGACAAAGACAAAGACAGTCTATAATCTCTATTGGTTACATTACAACACCGTGCAATGACACTATGATATACTACTGTTGTTTCGTGAGGATGCAAGGTTGCCATAATGCTATCGACTCCATACATCTCGCGTTCCATGTCATGTCAGTAATCGAGGATAAGTTCTGCAGCCGCAAAGCTCAAAATCATGGAGCTGAAGATCCATCCCGTCTGTATTCTGGAATCAGTCTTGTTGATGAAGCCCTTCTATTTCTTCAGTAGGCAATCCTTGAACCCCTTCTCCAGCTCTTCTTTATTGAGGTTCCTGCCGATGAAGACAATCTTGTTGATGCGAGGCTCATTTGGCTCCCACATCCTCTCAGGAGATCCCTGGAAAATGTCATGCACTCCCTGACCATGCAAAAACAAACAAGCAATTCAGGTTCATTCGGCTTATCAATGCCAGTCTGAGAAAGTTTGGTATAATGTTAAAATATCCGTCCAAGTCAAACGGTAACACTTAGTAGTAAATTTGAAGAATCAAGATAATCTGCTAAGCACATGAAGATATACAAGGGAAGGTGCTCAGGACAGGTGCAGAGTTGCAAACACTAGCAAGACTGAATGGAGTGATGGAAGATAATAGAAATGGCATGCAGGATCATCAAAGGAAGAAAAAAAAACGTTTTCCTTCCAAATTTAAATTTGATCCTTCCTACCAACAATAATACATCTAAATTTGATATGTTATGCTTATGCATAATGCCTTTTCACGTTACTAAATACACATAAATTGATTTTGGTGTGGTAGATGCCACAACTGTTGGTGTATTACGCCATAACAAGATAAAATTGTGGCATTAGTTAACCCAAACCTGAAAGACAAATCGCTGTGGCATTCCACTGACAGAAAGTAGTCCTTTCATCCTGTATATATCCTCACTGTGTTCCAGCAGTAGGTTCCCCAACCAAAAGTCAGCCTGCATGAGTGCATTTCAAATTGCCATCAATATAATATAAGTAACTCCATTCCAACGCTACAAAAGGATTGTGGTATTTAGACATCTCAATATTCATTTTATCAATTGAGAAATATAGCAAGAGATGAGGAATAGTTCAAAACTAGCCTTTTCAAGATCCATCTCCCCTTCGCAAACAATGCTCACAGAAGAAACACCAGGATCATGAGTGTGATCATGTGCGTGATGATCTACAAAAAAGGGGGGCAGCATAGAGTTTACTTATGTTCATACTTGGGATTTTTAAATCAGTGATAAAAGAGCATTTACATATACAAAATTATAGACAAGACAAGCTTTTCAACTGGGGCATAGATGTACACTTCATAAGATAACCTGTGTCAAAATGTTCTCTTATATTTTTTGCTTTAAGTCAATGATGGTTTTGCACATGTCATTCCTAACTGGTGGCACAAATGAGTGATACTACCATGTCAGTCAGGTCATGCCACAATAATGTTACAACACCAAGGCTTACCATGTCCGTGATCATGATCATGATGGTGATGATGGTCATGGTCATGGTCATGGTCGTGTTCATGCTCATGCTCATGCTCATGATGATGGTGTTCATGGTCATGTTCTGCGTGGTCTTCATGTGACTTCTCAGCAACAGCACTCTCAATCCTGTAAACAGAATGAATTTCCTTTATCCAAACAGTATTAAATTAGTAACTGTAAGAACTGCCAGAATACAAAATTTCATTATTATTTTTTTAAAATAATCCTTAATGAGATTATACTGATTCTATGGCTAAGCGTACGCTAGTTTTTAGTTTTGCTCTCCCAATGCTAGCAGCTTGACTCCATATGGCTGCAACTAAGTTCAACTTTAAGCGCAGTGCATCATCTCATTATGCATCAACAACTCACATTATTTCATTATGATCTGTTTCTATATTAATTCTCTTTCCCCTTCTCTAAAGTAAATGACAGGGACTAGGCTGGAAGGGCACGTGACCCAAAATGTTCGTTTAGCGAGGACACAACATGCCAACACATATAACAGATGAAAGAAAGGAACCTCTCCAGATCAAATCCTCCAATTCCAAGAACATAATCCAAATCAACTTTACCATACTCAGTTCGCTTCAAATTAGCCATGTGATTGATACCCTGTATTCAGAAAAGGAGGATATTATAAAGTACAAACAAACATATGGTAATGAAATAGCACAATGAATATGCAACACTAACCCTTATACGCTCAACCAAGGACAAAACTTCAGGTTCATTGACCAGATCAATCTGCAGTGAAGTAACAGGGGTTAGATCTATATGTGTTTTCCAACAAGGACCCAAATTACAGAAAACAGTGTACTTAAGTCACTGAACATTTTGATTAAAGGAGCATAACCTTGTTAACTATAATTCTGTCAGCATAGGCAATTTGCTGAACTGCTTCATTGACTATACCCTTGGGCTTTACTTCATCCAAATGAAGTCTAGCATGCTTTGCATCAACTAAAGTAACAACACCATCCAGCTTGACATCATTAAAAACTACATCCTCTGCATAGAATGTCTGTATAATGGGTGCTGGATTTGCTAGACCTGAAAAAATAAAAATAGATAGAGAGAAAGGGAGAGCAATTAACATGATTATGCAATCCATGGATAACCAACGTAATAAAACTTTTCATGATTCGCATTGCTTTCTGTTCAAAATTTATACAGAAAGGAGGGGGGGGCACATGAGTGGGGTCTAGGGAAGGGATAAACCGAGACAAGCCTTTCCCCCGCAAAATCTGCGGAGAGGCTGCTTCGAACCCACGACCTGGTGACTCAGTGAGACAGCTCTCACCACTGCACCAGGCCTGCCCTTCTCAAAATTTATATAGAAAAAAAATTAATATGAGATCTTCTCCGGATTATGGTAGCAATATGCAGTTTGAACAATAACCTAACAAGTTCTTTACCTGTTGTTTCAATAACAATATGATCAAACTTCCCCTTCTTCTTGTTCACCAATTCACCAATCATACGGACTAAATCACCACGCACCGTGCAGCAAAGGCAGCCGTTATTTAGCATCATTATGTCCTCAGCTCCAGCAGTTTGTGCAGCGACTAATGAACCATCAATGTCTACTTCTCCAAACTGCAATGTGAACAATGACAGTAAAAGGTAGACAAGTGGTTCAGCTTCGCCTTGCATATTAGCTAGGCACTCCTAAGTGATGGATAGATCATGAACTAAGTAAATTAAGATGATTTTCTGCATTTCGCAAACTAAGCATGCGTTCAGGAATGAAGAAATAACTGCTGGACAGACACTTACAAAACTAATATAATTGAATTACTGAATGATGAAGTTCGTTTGGCTGACAAAACCATTAATATGAGCATACCTCATTTTCAATAACAGCAATTCGCTTTCCATGGTGAGCAGTCAAGATGTGATTCAGTAAAGTTGTCTGCAAAGAAAAAAAAACACTGAATATACAATGCCAATACAAATCATCCAGTTGAAATAAGCAATGCAACGTTCTGTGCACTGTGCAGCATATAAGTGACAGTGTCAAAGGTCGAAGCTATGAAATCAGTCGTACTGTAATATGCATGTAGTAAAGCCCCAGCAAGTGGACTAAATTTCTACAGGTTGATTAGAACAAGAGCATCTCTAGTTTTTCATCTCGCTTGATCGAAACAAAAAATGAGCACCCCGTCCTAGTATCTCTACACTTTCAAATCCAAACTTCAAGCTCAGGCATGTTATTGGGACACATCGCCCTGAATTCTCTAGCAATGGATCAGGCTGTAACTGGATCCAGCGGTTAGCATGCCTCCATCATCAGGGCCTTTTGCTTGAAGAAAATTCCAGAGAACTCCATATGTCTCATCTTTTTTCCGCGTCGCTTGAGGTTTCATCTCTCATGCCGTTTCAGTTTCAGTTTCCAGTCAAACACACGCAAAAGAACAGGCAAGAGCAAGAGGTGGATTCCATAAAACAGAGCGACTTGAACAACAGGTACTACTCTATCGGTTTATCTAAAAGGGGGACTCAAGTTCTTTATGCTTTTTTTTGGAAAAAATGCATAAAAATTGAATTTCTTGAGACACTGGCATTCATGGCTGAAACTACACAGAACTGCACAGTTTTGACATGCAATCCTATTTATAATTCACATCTGTCACATCTTTGTAAAACTAAATAGTGTTAGCATTCGCTGTGATAAACAACATTCTTTCACATAGATATTGCACATGTCTCAGTCAACTCAGCTATACTGGATTATTAAGAAATACCTTATCAGTGTATAATCCTCATAACCACCTATACACATCCCTATGTGTTAAGTTTTTTTTTTTCTTAGCACTTGATTGTAAACTGTTTGATTTGAACTTATATATTAGTCTTCACATTTTTTCATTTTTTCATTGTGCACTGAATCATTACCTGAGTGGGCTCTAACCCTACCATTGCCTTATAAATTTCTGAACAATTCATAGGAAGAGTTGAACAGCTAATTAGCTAATGTGTATTTCATTGATCCAAACCTCTTGAACCAATCTTGTACTGATGTCCTATAGCGCACATATAGCATACTTTACATATGTTACATTCGCTTTATGTTGACCTTTCCATTTCTTCAGGCTTCATCCTCACAAGCACAATCCTCTAGAGACATTAAAGATATGGAGATTGAACCAACATGCAATGACTTTGAAAATTCTTGCAAGAGAAATACTCAGGAGATAGGAGCTGATAACATGGTATATTTCCTAGTGGTATATTTCCATAACAAGATTTAGAAGTCATTAAACAATTTTGGAAAACTGCATTATTGTGACTTCTGTTAATATAGATACTATCTGCACCCAAAATCAATCAAAATCGGCAGTGCATGTCATTGCCACTGGCCCAATCGCGCAGCTGCCTCGCCCATGTTTCTAGTCCAAAGGCAATCACCGGCTGTAAGTAACAGTGTTGAATACTATCTTCGATAATCGTTTTCAGTGTGAGTCTAGCAACACATGGACTTTCACAGCCGCGCATACCAACGAATGGTAGTAGTACTGAGTTTAGAGGGCCCAGACCTTGCCGGAACCGAGGAAGCCGGTGATGATGGTGGCGGGGATACGATTGTCGGGCGGGATCAGCGTCTCCACCCCAGAGCACTCCTCCGCCTCCGTGGTGGAAGCCGCGGACGCCGTGAACCGCCGGTGCGCTCGCCACGACGGCGCCCCCGCCGGCGCCCGCGGTGCCGCCGCGAGGGAGTAGGAGCGCGCGGCGGCGCGCAGGCGCAGGCGGAGGAGGGACGCAACCCTGCGCGCGGGCGATCCGAGGCACGCCGCCGCGGAGATGGCCGGGGAGGCGGAGCATAGCGCCGCCATGGTGCGCGTGCGACTGTGCGCGAGGAGGGTGAGAGAGGTTGCCTGAGACTGAGAGGAGGGCAAGTGGATATCTGCGGCCGGTACGGACCGAGACCAGTGGAGGAAGAAGCACCCGCTCAGCTTGGGTTCGGCGAGCGTGCTGGAATTATCTCGGCGCGGCGCACGCGCCGGTGGGCTCTGTTGGGCCGGGTAGCAAAGGCCGGTACTGTTGGGCCTCTAATTTTCATATGTGAGTCTCAGTTGGGGCCTCATGCCAGTGGGCTCTCTCTTGAGCTGGGAAAGTTTGTTTCTTCTTTGTTCGTTCGTCGTTCTGGGCTATATAAATGGGCCGCCAGCAATGTAATACAGTAGGCCCGCCTGAAGAAGAATTATGCTCTTTTTAGAAGAGAAGAAGAACTCTACTGAGATGAGGTCTGGATCACTGCATGTCATCTGTAAGAGCAACTCCAGCGGTGTCTCTACTTGAGCCCCCTAGACTAAATATGGAGGCTTAGGTCAAAAATCCAACTCCAGCAGGTCCATGCTACGGACCCAAATTTATGTGGACATCAAATCCTCCCACCAGACCCATTCTGGTTGCCCCAACGCCTCGGCCCCCATCCGTGCGGGCGCTACTCCTCTCCCTCCGGTGGGTTCCTCCGACGAGCGCCGTGGCTCCTCACTTGTCCCAGCACGGCAGCGAGCTCCGGCGGCGCGGCTCCTCTCCCTATGGTGGCTTCCTCCGACGAGCTCCACGCGGCTAGATCCACGGAAGGCAGGGACGGAGGGCTCGCCGGCTCCTCCCCTTCGCGCCGCCCTGCCATGGCGCCTGGCCCTTCTCTCCACCCGGGCATGCGCAAGCTTGAGCGCGTGCCCCCTGCCATGGCGTCCGCGACCTCCCCTCCTCGGCGTCGGCCCCTTCTCCTCCGTCGCAGTCGCGTGGGCGGGGGCGCGCTGCTCCCCTCTACTCCGCCGCGCGGGCGAGTGCGGACGAAGATTGATTTGACCTAATAACAAGTGGGCCCCTTATATCATTGTCTACTGATATGGATTTGGGGGCCTTCGTTTTAGGGCTACTGTTGGAGTGGAAACACAAATTTGAACCAACGAAAATAAAGATAGGCACCCAAATATAGAATTGGGGCTCTAATTTAGGGAGGCTACTGCTGGAGTTGCTCTGACGAGATCAGTAGTACTGAACTTGCAAGCGGTTGTCTGGTGCATTTGCAATTGCTTCATACGGTAACCTCAGATTTCAAGCTTTGGTGCTTTGAAAGAAGGCGAGAACAAGGGGCACAACAAGAATTTCGTACTTTGAAGCGATTTCCCGCTGGAGATCTACTGTTGGCTAGTGCCAGTGTGCCACCAGGGAAAAGACCATCCACAGGCACGGTGTCAGGCTGTCAGTGATTGCAGTTCTTGGGCCTGTTCAGATGGCGAAAATTTTTGCAAAATGTAATGTAGTATTTTTCGTTGTTATTTGTCAATTAGTGTCCAATCATAGTCTAATTAGGCTTAAAAGATTTGTCTCGTGAATTTCGTCTAAACTGTGTAATTAGTTTTATTTTTTATTTATATTTAAGGCTTCAGTGATTGCAGTTCAAATGTTTTGGACGCGACGGAAATCGAAAATTTAATCCGAGGATAACTTTGTCGACCTATTTTGGCCTTCGATCTGCCCGTCAGACCGATTCAGCGATTTCCTCCGAGGATAATTTGTCGCCTGCAGGTTACTGTATCTGCCACCTGGTGACCTCGCTTTGGACGAAATAAATTTACACGTCCTCAGGGCGGATATTGTAATCCGAGTGACAGTGACCGGGATGTTTCCTTGCACCTAGCCCCGTCCGCTGCTTACGCTGTGAATGTCGTCGGTCGTAACTAACCGCGACTTTTTCTTTTCCTTTTTTACGAATAACCTACTACTAGTGGTTGTTTTCACCGTGTACATACGCGGACATCAATGTGAGAGAGACGCAGATAGAGAGATCAGCTGAAAACCGGATGTATGTATATCAAAAACTAAATCAGCTGTCGTCTTCGCCTTATCTTGGGGCAAAGTGAATGAAATTCAGAACAATGTACTCCTACCAACAGTGGTACGAAAGAAAAAAAAAAGCTGCCGTTGCGCTTGCTCCTCGGCCAGCTTCACGGCTCTGCGCCTCTGCCCCTGGCACGCGCAGCTGCTAACCTGTTGAGGCCCCCTTTGAAATGCGAAATTTTTTTTTGTTCAAATGTTTTTGCCTGGTACATTGATGTACGGTTTTGAAGTTTCCGTGTAATGGGGTCGGCATATATGTTTGCTGCAGCGAAGGAACTGGGGTGCGGGAGCACGTGGCGAGCGGGGGGTGGCTGCGGTGTAGCCGGAGCGGGCCGTCCTTTTCGACGTGGTTCGGTTGGGCCACGGTGACCCGGACACGGAAAAACACAACGCGCGCGACCGACCGTCGTCTGCCTCGCCGACCAGCTTAGACGACGCTGCACCTGCACCTGCACGCCGTGGAAACTTCAGGTCGCGCGCCACGTACCGGGCCGGTGGCGGGGGTACGTGTGGCGCAACTGCATGGGCGGAGGCGTGCTTGTCACTGCGATTATTCGTTCGCCGTGTCACCGACGAGTCATCGTGAAAGGTCGCAGTACGCGTACGTACGTTGCACGCGCCTGGTAACGGTATTAAAGCTGGCTGATAAGCCGGTCAAAACTATTTTGTTGTGAAGCCATTTGTTCAAACCGCACACTCTAAAAAAAAAACTGAAAAGCATTAGACGCGTAGATTCTATCGATAAGTGAACTATTTTATAAGTCGCCGATAAGTCAACTTATAAATTCAAGCCGGCATGTCATAAATGGGAGCTATGTACAGTAGTATTTTTTTTCCTCCAGTTAATTAACGGTTTTTTTCGTACGAACCTGGATGAATGTACAGATGCATCCAATATTCGCATAATAACCGTATACTATTGTCGGGTATCAGTATCAGGCATACCTAAGAGAAGTAAGCTAATGACCGTGAACGCTAACTCCCTCGGATGGTCAATGGCGTATCTTAGTCTCGCCCGGCCCCGAGTGTACGGGCCCCGTTTCGCCCGACCTCAAGGATACGGGATCCGGGTCATCCGACCCCAAGGATATGGGATCCGGGTCAACCGACCCCAAGGGTGTGGGCTCCGTCTTGGCCGACCCCTCGGACGAGAGCCCCGTCATGCCTGACCCTTCGGGCGAGAGCCCCGTCACGTCCGACCCCAAGGACGCGGACTCCGCCTTGCCCAATCCCGAGAGCGCGCCCGCCGTCTCGCCCAACCCCGAGGGCGCGGGCTCCCCCTCGCCCCACGGAGGTCCGTACCACCCCCAACCACTACGGGTTTGAAAGTATAAGTCTAGGGTCAAACTTCTGACGCCAGAAAGGGAGCGGACGCTTCTTGACGTGACATGCGGCCACGACGAGCCACGTCTGAGGACGCACGTCGCCAACAGCATCGACGTGTGCCGACGCTGTACTACCTACTCCCAGTACGGCCTCAGGCGGAGACATCAACGAGCCATACCGTCCGCTGGGATGGGATGGAGCGCCACGATTGGATGACGATGTCCGCGTACGGCGTCAGTGACGAACAGGGCCACAACGTGGAACCGTCCCCATCGTCATCTACAGGGCCGGCGGGACCCACGTAAAGGAGATGGAAGACGCAATCCCTAAAGCCTTCCTCTCCTCGTCTCTTTCTCTCTCTCTGATATAACCTACATCTCCCTCTTCATCTATAAAAGGGGAAGCAGGACACCCCACAGAGGGGGCAATTTCCAAGACACATCTAACACGTCTGAGTGATTGAAGGCTTAGGCATTCGACAGTAGACAAAGAGCTCAACCAGACTCACTCTTTTTACTAGAGACTTGGGACCTTCTTTCTCTCTCGTCTGTTTGTAACCCATACTATAAACCAAGTGTCGGTAACACAAGCAGTAGCAGACTGGACGTAGAGACGTTCTGCCAAAACCAATATGAATCATTGTGTCCTCCGAGCATAGCCATCCGGGTCAAACGTGCAAACTAGAAATTTACTAGCCGGTGATTCGAAACACCGACAGTTGGCGCGCCAGGTTGGGGCCTTTTGCGCGTCTCGTCGACCACAACAGGCCACAGATGGCTAGCCACGGTGTTAGCTCGGTCCCGGACGTGCATGTGCGTTTTGGGAGCCTAGACTTCATCGTCGCCACGGAGGAAGAGCTGGCGCGACCTCGACGCAACCGTCAAAGCCTTCGAGGAGCTACAGCTACGCACAGCGGAGGCCCGTGTCCCCGGGAATGACCAGCTCCTCGGCTTCGATTATGGGAGGCTCGAGCGTTAGCTCGACGCCTTCCTAGGACCCCGACCATCCCGGGAGGATGTGCGCTGCCTCACCTTCTCCTTTGCCAACGTCATGATGCAGCTTACCGGAGGGGAGCCGCTCTCCCTAGAATATCTCACCTAGGACGCCCCGACAGCGTTCCCGTTCGGTCTACGCAATGTCGCGAGGACTGTTGGTCACCTCACGGTACAACGCATGTGCCCGCCTCCCACGGATGACGAATTCGTGGGAATGATCGATTACGTCGCGGAGTCTTTCCACGACCTTCTCGCGGAAGATTCAGAGTCGATCTCCGACTTTGACTCCAGTAGAGGGAGCCATCACCTCTCGCGAGAATGTTTTATGGCGGGTACCCCCAAAGGACGTGTTGAAAGCGTCCATGAGGGAGGGGCTACCCCACCAAATGACTTTGACGATGAAGTCGAAGAAGATACGGGGGGGCCTTCCTCGCATGCATCGGGTGGAATGAAGCTCCTCGAGCTAAGGCTAAGGCGCGCATCGGGACCTCGAAGATGCGCCTCCACCTTCTCCTTTTGGAGAGCGAGGGGAGCACGTAGGAGCTCGAACACGAGATCGATGGCGTCAGCATGGGATGGATGGTGGCATGACGTGCCATCGCCCGACTTTGACGAAATCGGAAGATTGTCAGGACAAATGACTTTGACGGAGGCCTCCC